GAAGTAAATATGCTAGACACTGCTTAACGGCTGCCAAAAAGTGCTGGAATGATATCAAGTTGAAATGGGAGGAGGAAGTATTGGATACCGACAAATTAAGTGATGATACTATTCGGATGGAAAGTGAAAATGAGTCTTTAGATGATGATCAATTCATAGAAAAGTTAGGAGAATTGAAATAAAGTATACTAGAGGAACTCATCAAGAATGCAAGGCAATTGGACATATAAATAATGAAGGGATGGAAGCCAGTTTACAAAGGTTTTGCTAAATCAATATTACGCAATAAAAGAGCAGTTTTAAGAAAGGCAGCTTTTGGTTCTAATAAAATTACCAACTGGTTTTCTATCAAAACAGCTAACTCTAGTGATGATAAGCTTCTGTTTGAGAAGACAGTTAATTCTGGTGATGACGAGCTTCTGTTTGAGAAGACAGTTAATTTCAGTGATGACAAGAATACATTTACTTTGGCATCTCTTGATGCTCTGCTAAAGAAAAAGTCTGATGTGCGGCTTGATATAGTGAGCCAATTTCTTCACCTCATCCAAGATCAAGGATTCTCTAAACTATCAGCTAGTAATCTTCTTGCTCGTAGTATTAATCAGGGTTCATGGTATGGGTGAATTATTTATTCATGGACTAATCAATGGTCAAGTAAAGATGAAATTCTCACATCACATCATGGCCATCACTCAAAAACTATGTCATTCCTGTTTGATGAAGTTTTTAAGATACGTATCATTAAATATTTACGTGCGAACAAGTTCATAGCAACCATCTATGAATTCATTAAGTTTGTTGAGGATGAGGCTCTACCCAATCTTGGAATCGAGATAAAAAGAAAGATTAATAAAACAATGGTTCAGGAGTGGCTATATCAACTTGGCTGGGATTATAAGAACCATTCAAAAAATATTTACTTTGATAGCCATGAGCATGATGATGTGGTGGCTTATTGAAACCAATTCTTAGAACAAATGGCAAATTTATAATCTTGGATTGCAGTATACAAGGGAGAGAATATGGATCAAATTATCTCGCTAATACTTTCACCCAATATTCTTGAGCTCATTCTGGTTATTCATGACAAATTAATTTTTTATGCCAATAATAGTATTGTCAAGATCTGGGATCCAGCAAAAGAAAACCAGCTCTGACACAAGTCACAAGGTCTTAGTATCCATGTAAGTGATTTCATTTGTGAATCAATTAGACGTCTTCACCTTTTAACTGAGGACCAAGCTGTGAATGACTTGCTTTCTGATGATAATTAGCTTTTACATACTGAGATCTGTGTTATTATGCATCCAGGTTCTAATTGAGACAGCTGGTGGACAAATCAAGACCTTATAAAGCAAGTGGTTGACAGAGTTATTCCAATTTTTGAGAGAACACATCCCAGTAAAGTTGCACTCTTCATATTCAATAACAGTTGCAATCACAGTGCATATGCCGATGATACCCTGATCATTTCACGGATAAATTTGAAGGATGGCGGCAAACAACTACTTCTTCGTGATGGCAAGATGCCTGATGGTTCTCATCATGTTCTGACATTTATTGATGCTGATGGTGGAATCAAACCAAAGGGTATCCAATGAATTCTTGAAGAGTGTGACCTGTAGGTGGAAGGTTTGACAAAGGAATGTGATACTTGCAAATCACATGCTTTTGATTCAATGAAACTGCAATATTGTATAACTGGTATTCTTGGTCAACAGCCTGATTTTGCATCTTAACAGAACTATCTGCAGGAGGTCATTGAAGCAGCTGGTCATATGTGTATTTTTTACCTAAAGTTTCATTATGAGCTCAATTTTATTGAATCGTTTTGGAGGGAGGCAAAGTGATACTCACATTTGCATTATGATTATTCTTTCAAGAGTCTCAAGAAAATTATTCCGTGGGTATTAGAATCAGTTACTCTGATCAAGATTCGTCGTTATGCATGTCAATCTACTTGATATATGAGTACTTATGAATAAGGTCTTTTGGGTAAAGCTACTGTCTTTGTCGTGAAAAAGTATAGATCACATCGTAGAGTTTCTGATAGTATTTTGGAAGAGTTTGGCCATATGAAATAATCAAGCTAATTTGGCTGTTTGATTAGTTTAGCAAAGAAGAGTTTGAGGAGTTTAATGTCTCTTTAAATAAAAAATGGTTAATGATTTTAAATAAATCAATGATATCATCAAGCATGCTTCTTGTTTGTTATATTATAAAAATTAATCATTTGGCACTAGATAAATAAAAAGAATTAGCTGACGGATTAATTAAAGCTTGAGAAAGTCCAAAAGTTATTCCAAATTTAGAAAGATTTAATGCAGTAATCATCTTATTCACATGATAATACATGAGCTCCAGCGCTAAAAATTTCTCTAATTTTATATTAGATTCTATTAGAAGTGACTGAAGAAAAATTCTAACTACTTAATAAATTACTAATATATTTTATAAAAAAAATGCATTGCTTTATAGATCTTATCCAAGGCTATCTAGCAATGCATTTATTTTTGTGATTACATGTTTATATGTAGAGTCTTTGCAATTTAAAATACTTGATGGTTTTAGGCCATTCACACCATAATAACTGGAAACTCAAAAGAATAATTATAAAAAAATATAATTATAAAGAGATTTGACTATATTTATATTATTATAATTATTATAAATTTATTTTAATTAATTAATTTATATATATTATATAAAAATATATTAAAAGTTAATTTTATAATAATTTATTAAAGTTTAAGAATAAAAAAATCTTGAAAATTAATTTGAAAACAAATGTTATAAGTATATTAAGAAAAAAATCAAAATTTAATTTTTATTATTTTCATAATTAAAAAAATTAGATATCTAAATTAAGTATAATAAGTTTAAGTATAAAATATAATTTGTATAATTTGCAAAGATTAAAGAATGAAATTAAAAATTATATCGAGTTTTAAATATAATAAAATTGAATTTTGATTGTATTGACACTTTAATTTTATTATTATTATTAATATTTACTATAGTTAAAATATTTAAATTTAATATTATTACAACATTAATAATTATAGATATTAAAATATAAATTAATAAATATTAACTTTGAAAAAGATTTATTCGAGTTTAAATTAATATAGATAATGAAAAATATCCAGATTCAAATCACAAAGATGAGATACTAAACAAATTACAAGTATACAGACAACAAAATGAAATAATAATTAAGACAAATTATTTTTTTCACAATAATTATAGATACTTGCTTTGTTATTTTTAAATTTTATTTTATTTTGACTAAAAGAATAACTCATGGTGAGTTTTCTCAAGATTCATATTTGCACAGCAGTTTATAAGTATCCTTGGATGACACAAGAAAGGATAACATTTCGAATATTATTTATAATTACACAAATATAACTAGTTTATTTGGATTAAACAACCTAAGACAAGCGTTAAATTGGCTGCGAAACAAGAAAGTAACTGCACAAATACAGAATCGCACGATAAATGGAAATAATAAAAACCTTGCCAGTATTTCCATTGTTAAACTAAAGACAACATTGTTTTTATTAATAAAAGTTTTTATATTATATGATCTGCATAATGAAACAGTGTAAATCGAATTATCGTAAACTCGTTATGAAAACAGACAATATTAATTTAAAAAAAAATTAATTCATTTATCCGGAGCAAAAGCTCTGGAACGAGGATAGTTCGGATAATCGGGTCATACTGTATATTTAACTAAATAACGCAATGATAATATTAAATAAATATGCATTATCGGTAAAACATTTAAATTATAAGATAATATCATTATGCATTATTTTTCAAAGAAGGTACAGGAAAAAATTGAATTTTTCTCTAAATACGTCCCAACATCGATATAATGCTGTTACTCATTGTTTCCAGATAAAGAATCGCCATTGTTCTGATTACCAAATCAAACAGAAATAAACAATACGAAGAGGTGATATCATCAACAACAATAGGAAGGATCAACGTATCGTTGAACACCTGTAAAGTCAAGGGTTTTTGGGTTTTTGTATCTCAAATTCAGTATCAACTTTTAATATCAGTTGATCCATCATCTAAAAATAAAAATCATACACTTAATTACATTAAATCATCAGTTTAAAAGCAGATAAATTATATATCTCATCATTTTAAATTTTTTACACTGTATTTTTGTTTATATAGAACTTTGACTTTTGCATTAAAGCAGGAATTAGCTTCCACAGAGAATTTCTACCACATAATAAACATCAAATCAATCAGACAATCTATCAATCACCTTTCTGTTGCATCATTCATGCTGCATTATAATTTGTCACCTTTCTCTATCCTAATAACTGAACATAGCAGGGTTTACATACAATAGCATAGAAAACATTAAATATATACGTAGTATTGTTGATATTTGTTTTTAAAAAATTTCCTAAGAAAAAAAATTTCTCACTTCGACACATGGATTGAAAATTCCCAACTTACATCTAATATGCACCTAAAAAGTATACTACGCGCTGTAGGAGTTAATTAATAAACTCTGCATAACACGATTTAAATTTAACAATAATACTCTAATTACATAATAATTTAACATCCTTTTTCCTATCTTCCTATCTAATAACAACCATCCGTGCAAATTGTATTTCTCTTCCTCTTTCCATACATAAACTTTTTGCCTTAAAATTAACTTTATATCGTCTCGTAAATTGCTCACGCACAGAATTAAGGTCCTCATACTGTACAAATCACATCAACAAATCAACTGAAATCAAATCTCAAGAACAATTTATCAAGTAATCAATCAATCAATCTACACATTTTATCCTAAAGAATATAAATACGACCGATTAGCTCGTCGATTCATTTGTTGTGTTGTCTCTTTTTTTCTCCAATATTTACATAAAAAAATTAATAAAGAGATATCATTTCCAAAGCACAAATACAACAACAACAACAACAAAAACAACAACGATAAATAATAATCATCATCATCACATATGGACACCGGCAAAGGACTAGGTATTTACATCCCTTTAGAAAATGATGAAAATCACGAACAGCAGCAGCAACAACTACTACTACAGAGAAATGATAATTCGGTGATAGATACGCAAAGACAAAATCAACAGCATCATCATGACTATCAATGTTCCAATAATGAAAATCTGCCGGTCACTCATCAGTTGATAAAAGAAAGGTAAAGTTATGCTATTTTTTTCTTGTTCTTTTATTAATTTTTGATTTCGATTACATTTCTTCTTTTGAATAGATGGAGAGATTCCAATTCGAATTATCAACCTAAACAAAATAATTGTGCTACAAATTCCGCAGAGAATGAATGCCAGAGCTCAGAGAATCGTATCACGTTCTATAATAATGCTATTGCTCAACAGCAACCATCATCTTCTGGAACTCCCCATTTCGTATATCCTCGATATTTCTATGAATCTCATCACGGATATTTACCACCTCAACCACAACCCTCACAACACGCTATATCTCATTATTATCATCATCAGCCACCGACACCGCAGACACAAATATCCGGTGAGAATAAATATTCTACAATCCCAGCAGCCACACAATGTTCGGCGCTAACGTGTGCGAGCATTCCGCCGCAATACACGAATTCGTTTTTACACTCACAACACATGAGTCAACATCTTCAATTCTATTCGCATCCAAATGCACCAAGTCATACAATATCATTGCCTCATGCCTATCCTCTACATCAGCCACAACAGCATCATCATCATCATCATCATCCACATCATCCAGTTGCCTCTGTAGTCGCACAAAGTCTTCAAGAATATACATCGTTGGCATCTGCAGCGACCAATTCGAATTCGGAACGTGCCCTTCTAAAAAAAGGTCGTAAATTTCCTACGTCACCGTCAATATCTTCATCTAAATATGAAGAAACAAACGCGTATCATGGTACAACACATCAGCATCAACAACAGCAGCGTAAAGGTGATCAATTGAAATGTTCAAATTGCGGAGTGAGAGAGACACCAGCTTGGCGTCGTGATTTACAAGGAATTGCGTTATTATGCAACAGTTGTGGCTTATAGTAAGTTAATTTTTAAATTTGATTGGTTATTTTTACATTTATTAATCTAAATTTAGTCTAAAGAATAAAGGAGTTCATCGTCCCACCGAGCGTGCGCCTGATGGTACTATTAGACTCAAAAGAGCCTCGAAACAAGAATCGGAAATTTCTTGCAGTAATTGCCACACGAAAAATACTCCTTGCTGGAGAGGAAATCAAAATCATAAGCTGTGTAAGTTGATTTTATTGTAATCGATTGTCGAATTATTTCAATCATCTCAAGAAAGATCATTATTTTAGGCAATAAATGCGGATTATTCCTAAAAACACATGGCTATCCGCGTCCACCAAGTCCCGAATTGAGGGCTAGACGTGGATTGTCCACCGTTGCGGTTGTATTTTCAAGTACTAGCAATAATAGTAATAATGTTCACAACGATTCGATGACTGTTAATCGTGCAGAATCGCATGATGTTCAAGAGCAAGAACAACGACAACAGCAATCGATATCATGTACTGAATCTCAATTGAAACCTCAAACGCAACAACAGAATGAGCCACATTCTCCTCCGATCGTTGAACCAAAACAAGATCATCTAAAAGAAGAAAAAAAACATAAGCAAGCTGAAAATGAGGCTCAACAACAATTATCAGACTCTGAATCGGAGCTCAATAACAATAACAATAATATTTCGGATTCTTTAGCAAAAAGTTGAGAACAATAACAGCTATCTAATGATATTGCTATAATTAGACTATTTTTAGATATAAAATTTCAGTTTACTATTTTTTTTTGATCTTTAGCTTCTTATTTATATAGATATATAATATTAATGAAATGACTAGTCAATTGATAAATATTTCTGTGGCAATATCTCTAAAATAAAGTTATTTTACAAATTTAGATTACCCATTCATTGATTTCGATGTAGAATAAGTGTTAAATGTTCGTAAATAAATCTTCTTCAGAAAATTAAGCTTTCTTTAATAAAATCCAGCTTAGTGATTAGAGTAATAATCGATTCATTTGGTGATTGAAAGAAACAATTTGAGTATACAACTGTTTATTTGATTTATTAAATTCCTAGATTTATCTTTTATAGTAATTCAACTTATGGTACGCTTGAACCCATAAAACGATATCTTTATTGATTTAATTATGGATAGAGACGATCAAGAATTTTATCCGATACTGTACTTAATCAACAAAAAATAAATTTTAAATTGTAAAAAAGCAGGTTTAGAAAGTAATCAAATCTTTCAAATCTTCATGATGGCCACACTTGGAGAGCACCGTATTCTTCTGGAGATAAGCATCATCCCAATTTTGCGTAAATAAATTCATTTATTAGCAAACATTAATTAAAACTATCCATGAATCCATCCATGGTGCTTATTCTCGGAAGAATATTTTAACTTTTACAAAAAACGTAGGCAGGCATTATAAAATTCACTCATAAATGTCTTCTAAAAAGAACTAAAAATGATGGATTGCTCAATAAATGAAATTTTATTATGAAAATGCTTTCATAAAAGATGTTGGAATACGTATCTAATTCGATAGATTTAGTCCAATGTATTCTGAAAAATATCAATTACGTATTTCACCTGACTAAGATTTTGGCGTTATTATCATTTTTTCTAGAGTATTTGTTTGTTTGATGTATTTTGAACTGTTTGCTAAACAATTCTCTTATTGTGATAACGATGTTTCTTTGTTTCTTTTCATTTACGCCATTTTTTATTTTTATCGTTATCGTTATCGTTATACACACACATCATGTGTATGATTTATTAAAATTAATTCGATAGATGTGATAGATAAAAATTTATTTATATTATTGCTGTATAAATATTGTATATCATAATTTATAATACTCTAAAGTCAACCCACTCTAACGCTAACTCTAATTTCTACTAAATGATCTACGTGTAAGCTAAATGATGATGCATGATGATAAATTATTACAATGAATGTTCAAAGACACTCTTAATACAACGAAGTGTTATTATAGACCTTTTTTGAACTCAATTTCGCTATATCGCAAGTTCGCTATATCAAGAGTGTCTTTGTAAATAGATTAGACAATCATGGGTCCCATTCATTCCATTTCTTAACGGCCTCTTTAACCCCGGCCACGAATTGACTCGATAAAAATCCCGTAGACTTTCTAACAATTTCCGCGTAAAACCAACCAATACATGGCAAATTTTCAATAATATCCTTTACACTCCAAATATCCTCGTGTCTCACAATTTTTTTCTGTTCGTTGAACTCGAAACGAGAGATAGTGCGTACCTCCACTTCTTGACGTAAAAAGAATAAGAGTCTTATGGGCAGTCGATATCTTATTATCGCATCGATTATGACAAGATGGTGATTACCAGCCGCTGCACATTCTGTGACACTGTGCACCTCCGGAGTTATACCAGGAAATACGGTTGCAAGCAGATAAAATTGTTGGATAATATTTGAATGTCCTTGCACGTAAGCAAGTGGATCCTCAAATACTGATTAATCATTTAAATCATAATCGATTAATCATTTTCATCGAATGCAATGAATAGAATCTAGAATCAGATTTTCATTTAATAATAAATACCAGCATTTCCATCCATGTATTGAGATATCACAATATCATGTAAATCGGTTCTCCTAGAATATAAAACATTGTGTACTTCTCGCGCAATCTCTTTATGAGATTTAGTTTCTAATACAACATGATTTTTTTTACCAACACTACCACTTGATTCCATGCTTTGATTTTTTTATCAAAAATTTCGATTTTTTTTTACGAGAGAAAAGATTTTTCGTTCAACTTTGATCAGAGGGTTTTTATTAAGAAACCGTGTGAATTTTCATGTGTAAATCACATGTATCAATGCAAACAATAGAACATATTCAAACTTTCTAAATCGTTTTGGGATGATAGGGGTTACATTAGGGGCGAGAGATATAATTTTGGGGAAATAGAAAAAAGATAGACATCAAAATTGTACGCGTCAACATCGAATTGATATTTTTCTGATAATTGTTTTGCTAGAACAAAAATAGACCTTTCAGATTAACAATGGATATCCTATAGATATATAGCGCGCGGTTATCAAATATTTTCGTTCGATTAGTATTACGATAGGGATTTCTAACAAAAATGCACATATCCTCATTACCAATTGTCGATATTTCACCATTCACGGGCGCTAAACCTGTGAGTCACGAAGCGAAACTCGAGACCGCTCGAGCAATTCACGCGGCATGTCGAGACTTTGGATTTTTCTATTTGAAAGGGCATAATATTCCACAAGACGTTTATGAGACAGCTTTGCGACTTGGGCATGAGTTTTTTAAATTAGAAGAGACGGAGAAAGCGAAACTCGGAATCGCAAACGAAGACTTTGCAAGGTTTTTGAAAAATTTATTGCTGACTGTTTTAGTAATATATAAAAATTTATCAATTTGATAATAAACCGAATTTGAAGAGGTTATCAACGATTAGGTGAAAATGTAACGAGATATCAAAAAGATTGGCACGAGGTACTCATCCTTGAAAGATGTAATAATTTTCTCTGATTATTATTAATAACGCTACTTTTTCGTCATTAAGGCACTAGACTTTTACAAGCCAATCCCACGAACGCACCCACTAGTGATAAACAATCAACCCTTACGTGGTGAAAATCAATGGCCGACCTGTCCAGCAGAATTCCGTCCATTTTTTGAACGGTATATTGAATATATGCTTGATTTGGGTCAAAAAGTGATGAGTGCTATTGCGATGGGATTAGGACTCGAGGAGAATTTTTTCGTTCCATTTCTGGACGAATCTTTCTGGTGCGCATTTTAAAAATAAATACATACGACTTTTTAAATTAGTAATAATGTACGCGTTTAAATATCACAGGGTAATGCGCGTTATAGGCTACCCGCCTCTTCAAAGCTCTACAGGAAAAGATGGCATCGGTGTAAGCTGTGGCGAACATACTGGTCAGTTCCATTAATTATCTTTCGTTAAAAGCCTTTCTCTAATTTATCACATTTCAATAAATAGATTACGGGTATATAGTAGTACATTATTTTATTATTTATTAAAAATTTTCCCTAACTACCGAATTTTTTTTAGATGTTTAACATTTCTGCTTCAGGTAATTTTTCATCTCAAGTTTGCATTGCATTCGCTGAGAAACAAAATATTTAAAGTTTTCGTCTGAATCAACAGGACAATATAAAAGGTTCTTTACAAGTACAAATGAAAGAAGGTGGGTGGATTAACGCTGATCCAATACCTGGGACATATGTCGTGAATATTGGCGATATGTTAAATGTATGTTCAAATAAATCAAAATTTATTCTCGAGTAAGATAAAGATTATTCTAATACTCATTTTAGATCTGGACGAATAACATATATCAAAGTACCATGCACCGAGTAGTTCACAAAGGTGATACCTATCGCGTATCGTATGTACTATTATTTATATTGTTTATTGGTTAATTTGATTATGACAAATGAATTGAGGATCTTCTTTCGATTAGGTGTCCATTTTTCTATGAACCAAATTTTGAGACACTAATTGAACCACTCCCCCAATGCCTTAAACTCGATCCAGTTAAACACCATGATCCAGTTGTGTATGGTGAACATTTGCTTCGGAAAGTTATGACCAATTTTGAAATTACTGAAAACTAAGCGGTGATTGCAAATATATACGTGTTAGATAAGTCTGTTATTGTTTTATCACGAAATCACGTATAATATCAAGGATTATCAAAATCAATCAATGACGTGTGCGTAATAAATTTAAGCATGGTCTTTTATTGATTAATTGTCTACATATATTAAAACTTTGAAATATTAATTAATAATTGTATTTTGAAATCATTAAAATAAATGTTGAAATAACATCATACCCTCTATGACCTCCCTTCTATACTTTTCAAATGCTCCATTGAACAAGCGTATTTGTAATTCTTTACACTTCTGTATTTTTTCAGGTTCTCACATCCAGGATGAGAACACAGCGGTAGTGGAGGAGGATAGCTATCAATCAATCATTTAATCAAACCATTATTTTCAATAAAAATTCGATGCATACCCAAAGAAAACTTACTTTGGTCCTTTATCAAATGGAATAGGTATAGAGACACCAATCGGAACCGAGAGTGTGCTTCCTTCTCTATTATTGACATAATGAAATGTATTGGCTACCAATGACTTTCGTACACCACCATCCTTTTGATTCTCTTGATTAAGATCGGTGTCCTCTTGCTCTTTACTGCGTCTCTTGGTATTTTGTTTTTTCAAAAGACGATTGATAGTGTCCATCTTTATTTTGAATTATGCACAAAGTTTGAAGAAAGTTAATGAGCTAGTTAGAACAGAATGTTCTTGATGATAACATAGCATGAGTTTACTTTATCTTGTTCTGCACGTTGAATGCTCTGATGTTTTCTTCGGCGTGCAGTCTCAGATTTTCTCAATGCGATCTCTTCTTCAGTGAGGTGCTTTTTTCGCGTCGGTTCTAGATGTTTTTGACAGATACGTCACCATAAATTCGTTCAAACCAAAAACAATAAAAAGAATAAAATACCCATAGGCAATTCAAGCAAGTCATGTTGGTATTCTTCGTTGTTAAGTTTTGCTCTTTGTCGCTTTGTCAATATTATTCGCCCACTCTTTTTCGATGTAGTATTTGATGATGAAGAATCCGGAATATTATCACTATCCGAATCCATATTAAAAATATCTGAGCATGTTTTACTTTTAAAGGAGAATAATAATATATCAATTTGATACACTCACTTGGCTATTTATGTACACAAAGAAAATAGAGATCAGATCAGAATGATTCTTAATTTGATAAAAACCTATAGCCAAACATTTATACCTTTCTTTTTTACTTGTTTTTGTTGCAGACGCGTCGATCTAGACGGAGGTTTGCGCTTTGTCTTTGATTGCATTGACGCCATAGATCTTGCTCGTCCTCCTTTCCGTGCAGACGGTTGTACTTCAAAATCACTAAGATCTTCTTCCTCTTCGTCTTCCTCCTCCTCTTCCTCCTCCTCCTCACTTGGCTCCTCATATCTTTCTTCTTCACTCTCATCCTCACCAGGTTGCGGTGTCGCCTCCAATTCAACTTCTTCCTCTTCATCTTCCTCACCCTCTGCATCCTCCTCGCCAACCTCAATTTGCTGCTCTTCCATTTCCTCCAGCTCTTCGTCTTCAATTTCTTGATCTTCGTCCATTATTATATCCTCTTCGAATTCTTCGATTTCGTTTTCCGCTTCTCCTTCGGCAGTATCTTCAGACAAATATGCTTCCTCAACGCGGTCTTCTGTTGTTTTATCTTCAGAACTGACAATTGACGCTGCTTCAGACTCTATCTCACCAGTGTCCAACACACGATTGTACACCTTGGATGGTTCCGGTTCTCGACGATAATTGGCGTTACGCCGGGCAGGACGCTCACGTCTCGTTAGTGGGGCTCGCATATTCAAATTACGTATACTATATATATAATTTTTATCTCGACAAATGTATTATATCAGTTATTTGAAATATTAATTATCTGTATGTCATACAAAAAAATTGATGTCATCGAGTAACCTTTTCCGTAAAAAAAGACGCACATATCCATATCGATATTTTAACCATGCAAAAAAGATCGTGACAATTATATATTTGTCTTATTTTGTCTTGACGCTCTAGTGATTGCAAGTCTTGAATCAAAGATAATATGAGCAAGTTAGTCTCAACACCACCACTTGTTAGTTTAAACCCTGCTAAAAGTGTACAAGAAGGTGAATATTTGCTAGTGAGATAAGGTTAATTTACGCATTCGATTTAAATTCATTCATTTCATTCAACAGTCGAAATTCGTCTTCACGAGCCTCTCATTCCAAAGCCCGGCTCTCGCAAAAAACGATTAGGCTTAGAAATATTAAATGCACTTACCAGACTTGAGCTCTTGTTAAATAAGGAAGAGGCATTTGCGAGTGCGGATCAAGAGATTCAGAATATACCCCAGGTTAATAACACTTTTTATATTATGTGTGTCATGTGTCATTGTTAGGGAACCTGAACAGAAAAGGTTCCTGCCTACTTAAAATTGGATAGATAGATATCAAATGCAATTTGATTAAATCTTCGATATATCTTCGGTATCAACCTTTTATCGCGCAATAAACCCCCAAAGCAGCCTTATCGTTTTCTCCTCGGAATAACTTAGTCCAAAGACAGCAATTTTCAATAATTACGGGTTCTCTGCA